GCAGACAGGAGGAGCCTGCCGCTGCCAGCACCCACTGTTTGGTGACTCATGGGATGATGAAACTTCGGGCAGGAAGAGCCATTGGATTCACAGCCCTGGGGAAAGCCCTCATCCCTCGGCCTCCCAGTGTGAGCGCCAAAGGACCTGCCTGCAGCGTGCCCTGAGGGCTACAGGTCCAGTGCCGGGGAGCCGGGGAGCTCTGGTTCTGGAGTGCCTGCCCTGCTGGCTGGGGTACCCTGCGGTGCAGCTCTGGAGGCAGAGCTGGAGCCAGCCTTGCCCAGCGGCCTGCCTTGGCGAGCTCCCACATGCCAAAGTGAAGGGTGGAATGGCTACCACCGTCCACCTGTCTTCTCCAGCACCCACCAGCTCCTGCTGCCTCGTTCCCAGCCCAGGCACTTGGGGTCAAACTACCTGCCCCGGACTCACTCTATCACCTCACACCTATCCTCGCGTAGCCCTGGTCCCCTAAGTCCAGGGGCAGCAGCTCTTTCCCCATGAACTTCCACTTCTTCCTTCCCACCCTCGCTCCGTGTCCATGTTCTCCCACCAGCCCCTCTCCTTTCAAGACCACAGACTCGTGCTGAATCACACAGTCGAGCTTTGGTGTTTTCATCCTGGCCTGCACAATGAGCACCACCGGGCTCCATGAAGCCAAAGGCAGATTTCCCAGGTGACACAGAGGATCTGCTTGCCCTCCTTTTCCTGACCCCAGTCCTCCCCAGCCCTCCCGATCCCAGGAGCTGGATGAGCAGCACAGAGGAAGAGAAAGGGAATAGGGGGAGAGTGGGAAGGGCAATGAGGAGAGCTTCCTGCCCCACTCCCTGCCCCTGACACCCACTCACCGAGGTGTCCTCTGAACAGGAGGCGATGATGTTGTCGATGAAGGGGTTCCACTTGATGTCCAGCACGTTGCCCTGGTGGCCGCAGACTTTGGGGTGGTTGGGTTCGATCCTGCCTGTCTGCAGAGAAGAGCAGGGAGATGGTTAGTTCAGTGCCCTGGGGTGTGTCCCAGGAGGGACAGCCTTTCAGTCCTTAAGGATCTGCCAGTGTTCTGCTCGCTGTTGGGGCCTTTGTCAGACTGGCCACACTGCTCTGCAGCTCCTCCCTGTCACACTGACTGGTGAACAAGGAGCAGGCTGTGGAAAGGGGGAGCCAGCCAGCAGAGGGGGGGGGGTCCTGCTGGCGCCTTTGTACAAAAGAGCCCAAGGGGCCCTTCCTCAAGCCACAAAGCTTAAAGCCACTTAGAGGGGGCTTCATAGAGTGCAGGGAGCCCTAGTGGTGTTGTGGTTACCTGCTGGGCTGTGATCTGAATGGTCGGCAGTTTGAAACCACCAGCAGGTCCTCGAGAGAAACACTGGGCTTTCTACTCCCACAAACAGTTATAGTCTCGGGGATCCACAGGGGATTGCTATGAGGCAGCATTGACTCAATGGCAGTAGGTTTGGAGTGGTTGTTTTTTTTTTTTTTTTTTCATAAAGCACAGGGGAAAACCCCATCCAACTTAATCCCAGATTTCCACAAGCTTCAGAAGCCTCCTGGGATATTACTACCCTCCTGAACAGCCAAAACTGTTGGGGCTGCAGCCCTGGCCCTGCGTTTACAAACCCACCCCCCGAGACTGGGGGCATATACTCCCCGTGTCCCCCAGGGGAGCCGACAGGTCAAGTTCAGATCAGAAGGAGCCTCCTGCCTTGCGTCCACCAAGACATTCTCCTACCTTAGATGGTCCACACGTCAATGCTGCCCGCCCTCCCCCAGATGTGACCCTGTGCAGTGTATGACTTGAACGCCGTGCTGTGTGCCCTGTGGCTGGATGCAACGCCGTTGGAGGCACACAGGTCGGCACTGGAGTCACAGCTTGGCCACTTTTTAGCTATGTGGCCTGGAGAAGGTCGACAACCTTCTCTGAGCCTCGATTTCTTGAATTCTACTGTGAGGCTAGCAACAGCCGCCTGCCTCGCCACAGAGCTGTGCCGATGAACCAAGCTCAAGTGTCTAACAAAGCACTTACTGGGAGAGGACACCCCCTTCCCTCCCGTGGTGAACGCTCAGCCCCTGGCATTGCTACTATCATCATCCAGGCTAGAGGACATCTCCTCCAAGAAGTCCTCCCAGGTCCCTCGATGGCAGCGTAGGATTAGAGGTCATTCTACCCATAGGTGTTGGAGAGCAACAGAGGAAACAGCTGCATCTTCCTTGACCCTGACCTGCCTGGCACGCAGTAGGACACAATACATGACCCCAAGGACATGCCCTGGGCAAGGCAAGGAATGCACACACAGGAAGACTGGAGCATGCGTGTGCTGGGGTGCGGGGGATGGGATAACTCCCTGCTGAGGGGCTGCGAGATGGTAGGAAAGGAGTGGGGTGGGTAGGCCTTTGCACAGCAGCTTTGGCTGGGTGGGGTGGGGGCGACGGTTGGAGGAAGGAAGGAGCGGAGGTTGCATTCAGTCACCATCCATCTGCGAAGAGTGAGTTGTCCAAAAAGTGAGGGAGGAAGAGCTTAGGTGTGTGCATCTGAGAGTCCACCAGTGCGATGGGCGAAGGATGATGACAGCGTGTGGTGTGGTGTGTCCGGCCCTGGACCTCTGTCCCACCCACGTCCTGCCTCTGCTTTATCAGCTTGTGGCAGACCTTTTGATGCAGCCATGGTGGGGTCTGAGAGGGGCCCAGAACTTCTCCAGTGCTGCCTGTTGTGGAAACTGGAGGCTGTCGGGAAGAGGTGTGGGGAGGGATGCTCCGGCTCTGGCTCCCAGCTCCAGCATCCAAGAGCAGGCAGGCACTTCCTCTCTGGCAGGGCCAGACCCCACCCCTGACCCAAAGGCTGCCCCTGAGCCTCCCCCAAGGAAAGCTCTCTCCATGAGCCTTGGGGTGCTCAGCTCAGCCCAGGAAAATCCGAGGGTCATCAGATCAATTGGTGGGCATCACCCAGCAGCAGCTTCTGGCCAGCAGCCTGTGGGGGGTGCACCGGAGAGGCACAGGTGAAGCATCGCCCTGGGACCTCTTCAGGGTGAGGAGGACAAGGCCCTGAGGAAGGAACCCAGACCTTTTGAAGCAGAGAGTGAGATGATGCCATGCATACTTTCAGGGAGCCCCTCTTTACATCACTCACCACGGAATCACATTCCCGTGTCTATAAACAGCGCCCTCTAGAGTCGAGCACTGCACAACCGCTTGGCTCTTCCTGGTAACCCTGATGTCCTGTCCGCTGGGCGGCTCTGATGGTCCTGCTTTCTATGAGTCTAGGAGAGTCTTACACAAACTTTTGTCTGAAGAAACAGTGTCACCGCTAAAAGGAAAGGGCTGAAAACCACCGTTCCATAGAGAAGTCATGCCAATGAAACAATGCAAATGTTAACGCCAGAAAGAAAAAACACGTTGTATAAGAAAACCGATACAATCACAGTGCGCAATGAATTACGTGCAATGTTGACATAGGCGCAATTACATAAACTCTGGATGCTTATTTAAACAAGAGTGTGTAATCATAAAATACTGGGAGGACAGAGGTAAGGAACGTGTGTGTATCAAGCAAGATCCTCATCTTCTGTAACAGGAAGTCAGTAGGCAAATACCTATGATTCTACAATTTTAAAAAGCACATAGTTAAGGAACATGGAGTTAAGTGCAAAAAGAAACAGCTGGAAGGAAGAAAAGTGGCTGCCTCTGGGGAGAAGGAAGTGTGTGTGTGTGGGAGGGGGTGGTAGGTAAGTGGGGCCAAGAGCTGAGATTATAGGCAATGGTGGGATCAGGTACATTTTCACAACTAGCTCTCCTGGAGAAAAGGGGCCAATTCCCATGGTGTAAACATCCCTATTCTGGCTAATGTCACACGACCGAGGTGAGGTCACCAATGGTAGCGCTGAAGACAGTATGCTACTGTATTCTGTTTCTGCCACTACCGACAATACTGTTCTTAGTTGCTGTGAAGTCAGTTGAGCTGGTCCACAGAACAGAACTGTTACAAAGGGCATTCTTGGCTGTACCCTTCAGGATGGAGACAGCCTGGCCCTTTCTTCCGCAGTACTTCTGGGAGCTCCAAGAACTAACCGTGAGGTTAGCAGTCGAGTGCAAACCGTTTGCACCACCCAGAGTGTTCACAGATAGAACACATATGAGCAACCTCAAGAAACTCAAACCCATTGTGGTGCAGTCGATGCCGACTCATAGCAACCCCATCGGGCAGGGTGGAATTGCCCCCGTGGGTTTCTGAGACTGTGACTATTTATGGGAGTAGAAAGTCCTTCTTTCTCCCTTCTTTCTCCCACAGAGTGGCTGGTGGTTTCGAACTACTAACCTTTCGGATTGAAGCCCAACTCGTAACCATTAGACCACCAGTACAAGTGAAATGCAGGAAAATAATTAGGAAGGGATGAATTCTGGATGTTTCGTTTCTCTGCTTCTTATATAACTGTTATTGGTAAGTTTTGGTAGCTTAGTTTTTAATAAGAGGAGCCCTGGTGGTAGAGAGGGCTATGAATCGGACTGCGAACAAACAAGATCTATACCACCTGCTCCTCGGGAGAAAGACGAGGGTTTCTACTCCCGTAAAGAGCTATATTCTCAGATAGCCACAGCTCTACTCTGTCCTACAGGGCCGCTGAGAGTCGCAGTGCCTTGTAGAACTCTTGGACCTGAAGGACTGCGTATGCGCCGTGCACTTTTAGATCTCCATCAAATGATAGAACTAACAGAGTGGCTGTACCTGGGTATTCTAAAAGAAACTTGTTCCCACTTACACTGTGAAAAATTCCCTCCCCAGACCCCACCAGGGTCTCTGTTGGCTGAGTTCCAGTTTCTGTCCAGAGGGGCTTGACTACAGACCTAGCCAAAGCTGTCGGTCTCCAGAGCCGCTCACAACACTGCCTTCTCATACTCTGCCTACACTCTCACCAGTCCATATTCCTACCCTAACACCATTAGCTATAATTACTGTGCTTGCATATTAATACAAACCACTGCCGTCAAGTCCGTTCCAACTCTTATCCACCCTACAGAGGGTTTCCGAGGCTGTAAATCTTTACAGGGGCAGACAGCCTCAGCTCTCTCCCGAGGAGTGACTGGTTCGTTTGAACTGTTGACCTGTGGTTAGTAGTCCAACACTTAGCTAACAGCCCCATTACCGTGATAGTGATTTACCAAGAGAATCCTATTAAACCCTCCTCCCAGCACATCTTATAGCTGAGAAAACAGAGATTTAGAGCAAGGTTTCATACTGGTGTGCTCCAGTCTGACCCATTGAGAGTTTGCTCTCTACCCACGGCCTACCGAGTCATCGTAACAAGATCTCAAGGTGTGTACATACACAAGCATCACATGGAGATCTACAAGAATCACTGGTGAAGACCTGGTTTAAATGTAGATTTCGATTCCGACATACATGCAGAGTGGAAAGGCACGTTCTCAGCAAGGGACTGAACTGGAATGAACTGGTTTGAAGCCCTGGGTGAGACAACTGCTTCTAAGCGGCAGAACCACAGTGTTGGAATGGTTCCCTGGTTGAGCAGCCAGCTCGTAGACTCAGATCAGGAGTAGAGTTTCAGGAGCCCTCAGCTTTACTTCACTGAGGACTCTGGAAGCTCCCGCTTCACGAGAGCTGGGACCAGCAACAACCTTGCTGCATGGGGAAACCCATTTCTTGAGCAACTGTGATGGTCAGGGATTGTGCCAACTGGACACTCCTGGGCAAGGGTCGGGGTGGAGCCCAACTTATCAACTGCACCTCAGTCTGGTGACACCTCCTTGCCGTCAGAAGCCTTTTTGTACAAGAGGGGAGAGACCAAGGAGAGTTGATTCCTCTTTGGCCCTTTGCCTCTGCCACAGCTGGATCTTGCATGTGGTTCCTTGATTTCTTGTCTCATTGTCTACTGATCCCAGGAGCCAGCAACCAACTACCAAAGGTGGATTCATTTGTTCGACTTCGGACCTCTGCATCCACCAGCCAATGCTCCCTGCTTCC